TAATTTGCACACAACTTTTTTCAACATAGCCAAAATAGATTTGATAAGATATGAATAATTAGGAGAAATTCAATTTCAGTAAATTTATGATGAAATTGAATGTCTTGATTAACTAAAAAATTATTTAATTCTAACATTATCAACAGACTTAAATACTGAAAGAATGATAAAAAAATTAAGGGATTTAGTATGGGCTATTAAATGGAGTGTTTCAAATTTTAGTTATATTTATGAAACATGTCAACTTAAAAATTTATAAATAAATCCTATTTCTGTATGAAAAATATTTTTTGCCTTAGATTCAAAAAAGCTCTTGATTATGATTCTCTAATCACCGTCGTCTAATTACAATTCTTCAACTACCATTGTTTGATTATGTTCCTTTAATCATGTCTCCAGATTACAATCCTCCAACCACTACAGCTCAATAATCATCCTCTGGATATTATCACCTCAAGACAATTCTTCGACCAACATCCCTCAATAATGTTCCTTCAACTACCATCCCCCGACTACGATCCTTCGATCATTGTCTCTTGATTAGGATCATTCAACAACTATTGCAAGACTATAATCCTCCGACCACACCCTCAACTACAATCCTCCGACCACTATCATCTGACTATAATTCTCTCGTTTGACAAGGGCTTCTTGAACATTGTCGACATGCTATGATCTTCCAACCATTATCTCTCGACTACAATCCTCTAACTGTCATCACGCAGCTATGATCCTTTAACCACTGTCCTCCAATTATCTCTTCCAACCATCATCACTGAACTACAATCTCTCGATCATTATCACCCGACTATGGCCTTTCGATTATTATTACCTCACTACAATCCTCTAACCATCATGACCGACATTGGTGCTACAACCACCTCGCCAAACTATGGTCCTCTGAGAACTATTACCTTTTTTTAATTTTTCCATCATCATCGCCTGACTGGTACTCGATCTTCAACCACAATTGCTCGACTACATTTGTAACAACCTAATATTTTTAAAAATAAATTTAAAAATGAAAAAAACTTTACATTTATGTTTGAATTGGAGCACTATGGCATTGAGCTTGTGAACACCGTGGCATTAGGCCGGTAAGAGTAGTAGTGCAAGAAGTTGTCGCCGCGACATTGAAGTCTATGTTATACAATAATTCTAAATTTAACATACAACACTGCGGTGCTTGGTTGTGTTGTAACTGGTGTTGTGGCGCTACACACTAAAAGGAGTTTATATATAAATATTTTTCCCCACTCACTTGCCTCCCTCACTCCCTCACTCCCTCACGTCGGCTCGCTTGAGAAGGAAACAAAAGAATAAGAAGAAAAGAGGAGATAGGGAGATAAAATTTAGATTTTGGTCTTCAATTCATTTTGCCATTTTTATGAAAATTATTCAGATTATGGTAGGCGACTTTTATCTTATTCTTATTTTCAAAGATTCTGATTTCGATCGCTGATTTTATCCCAATTTGATTTTATTCTATTTCCTCTATATTTAGTAAACTTCCACACCGTAATATTTTATATACTATAATATTGATTATTATGAATATTTTGACTAGTTGATTTCATAATTTCACTAGGTAAAATAAAAGTTATTATATTTTGTATGATTTGCACATAATAAAATTTTTGATATTTTAATACAAGCATACTGTTAATACAAGTATTGTGAATGAATATGCGTATGCAATCGAGTAATAGTTGATTGTTATTATTTCTATAATGATACTATGATAATAGTTTGAGTGAGGACAAATAAATGTTGGTTTTAAGAATGTTGGCTTGAGATTAACTGACATGTACATGATGGTGGGCGGATGATCTTTCTTTTAAATATTGTGATTTGGTGTTACATTTACCGATTTATGTTATTCATAGATTGAGAGTTATAATGAGTTATTTCTGTGCCAACGGTCTTTGAGTGATGGCTTTGTTTACTGAGTTAATAGTTAATGATTACTAACTAACTACTGGAAAAATACCACGCAAGCTAGAACTCCTTACTTATTTAGTAGGATTATTGGAATGCATGTTATAGCATTGATTTATTGTTATTGCATTGTTACCATTACATTCTTTTACTGTTATTGCCATCGATTTGATAGATATTGATACTATTATTGATGATGTTGATATTATTATTGATTCATTGTTATTATTATTGTGATTAATTTACTATTTACTAATTCAACATTGAGCACATAATTAATACTGTTAAGCATGTGATATAAAATAATTATTTGACACTGATATAAAATAGTTGAATATCATGTGTATACTCTTATATAATTTTATCGTAGTGATATGATTCTGATAATCTTTATATATGTTTTAGTTTTACTAATTTGTAGGATTTTCTTATTGATTTGATAATACTGCTATGATGATTGCTTTATCAATTTGACACCCGTACTAATTTATTGGTTTACTGATTTATTGATTTCATTATTTCCATACTATATGTTTTATTTGCCTATATATTGTAATGTCTATTGCTTTACATATTTTATTGCTACTACATATGATTTATTATTTCTGCACATATTCATGATCATATTGGTTGTTATTATTATGAACTGACTAACAACAGGCATGCTACTTCTTTACCGTAACAAGAAAATTTTGGGTTGGTTTCAAGTTGTGTTTTTTGTTTTGTGTCAATTTTGTACTCCCCTAGGTGTGGCTCCATGATTTTTTTCCTAATTTAAAATTTTCCATGTTAAATCCTGGTGTCCTTTACTTTCCGTTGCTTTTACTTTCTTATTTGTTTCATTGTTGTGTTTTACTCTCGTCCCTAAAAAAAAGAATAACCAACAATTATTTTTTCTTTTGATAAATTTTGGGCATATTTGATTGGCACAAAAGTGATTGTGTATACTGATCATTTGACATTTACATTTCTCATGACAAAGAAAGCTACCAAATCAAGATTGGTTTGGTGGATTCTATTGTTGCAAGAATTTTTTGATGTAAAAATTCTTGATATAAAATATAATGAAAATTAAATTTCCAATCATCTTTTATGACTTACATTCAAAGAATATGCATTAACTGACATTGATATCAATGAATTTTTTTTTTTTCTGATGAACAACTCTTTGCTTTGCATCTGAGTAGATTACCTTGGTATGCTAATTAATATTATTAACTTTATTGTAAGTTATTTGCTTTCTCTTGATTTATCTTCTACTCAAAAAAGAAATTTTTACATGATGCTAACTATTATTTATGGGATTAGTCATATTTATTTAAAATTTAAATTGACCCAAATCATTATGAGATGTGTATCTTAGAATGAAGTAGAATCAATAATTAGGGAATGTATGACTCAGATTATGGAGGGCATTTTGAAGGTTTTAGAACTACTTCTAAGGTACTCCAATCAAAATTTTGTTGGCCTACATTATCTAAAGATATTTATGAATATGTTAAAAAATGTGATCTATGTTAAAAATTTGACAATATTTTTAGGAGAAAGTAAATGCCTTAAATAATATTTTAAAATTTGAGTTCTTTGATGTTTAAGGATTAGATTTTATGGGACAATTTGTGCAATCCCATGGATGCCAACACATTTTGATTGTTGTTGACTATGTGTCTAAATGGATTGAAAGATTGACAACCCTTAGAACGGATACTTAGGTTGTGCTTAAATTTTCAAAAAAATATTTTCTAGATTTAGAATGTCTAGAGTTTTAATCAAGGATGAGGGAATTTATTCTATAATAAAAAATAGAAGCATCACTTGCTAAATATGATATTCATCATAGGATTGCAACATCTTATCATCCTTAAACTATTGACCAAGCTAAAATTAGTAGTATGAAGATTAAAAAAATCATAGAGAAAATTGTAAGTTCTAATAGAAAATATTGGGCTATTAAATTAGATGATACATCATGGGCTTATAGAACTACTCTTAAAATCCTATTGGAATGTCTCCCTATAGGTTAGTCTTTGAAAAAGCTTGTCATTTTCTTGCAGAATTAGAACATAAGGCATTTTGGTCTGTGAAAGAGTTAAACTTTAATTTTAAGGAAGCGAAAAAAAAAGGCAAATACAGTTGAATAAGTTAGGGGAGTTTAAAAATTAAACTTATGAAAATGTTAAAATTCATAAAGAGAAAATTAAAAAAAAAAAGACATGATCGTAATCTTATTAAGAAATAACTTACCCCTAAACAATAGGTTTTGCTTTTTAACTTCGTATCAAAATTATTTCAGATAAACTTAAGTCCAGCTGGTCAGGTTCATTCATTATTAATTATGCTTCCCTTAAAGAGCTATAGAAATTCAGGATAAAATACTTTCACAGTTTCAAGATAAGTGGCCTTATGTTGAAGCTCTATTTAGAATGAGACATTGATCGTATGAGAAATATCACTGAGTTTGCTCACTCAATCTCAAGAGACGTAATTGGCATTGTCTGGATGAAGACTGAAAACTTAATACTGATGGGGTCAACCCAAATATGTTTTGTGGTTGAATTTCTTTTCAGTTATTTAGTTCATTTCTTTTTATGTGTCATATTCTTTTTATTTATTATAGTCTTTAGTTAATTTTGATTATATTACTTTTGTTACATCATTTAGATTTAATTAAACTTTTTACATATACTTAATTGTTGAAAACTATTCTCTACATAGCGCTTGCACATTGCTTGTTTATTTTGTCAAAATAAAATGGTAATTAAAAATTATAAAAAGTTAAGAATAAGAATGATCTTTAGATGATAATTTGAATGAACAATTCACTTTAATTCATAATTTCAAATTCATAATAATTAACTAAGGAAAATTATTTAAGTCAATATCTTATTTTGAATTTAAAAGCCATACATTTAAACACTGAATATTGAATTGACATATGAGTAATTGAGTTTTGGGAAAGGGAGTTTATAGATTAAATTTATGAAGATCATTGTAAAACTAACTAGGAAATTATCAATCTTTTTAAATTCTTACATTAATTTATTGAAGGTATAAAGAAAAAATTGACATTCAAAATCATTAATATGTAATATGAGTATAAAAAAGTAAAAAAAATATATAAAAAAGAAAGAAAGAAAAAAAAAAGAAAAAGAAAGATGAGTACATTTAAAAATTAGTATCCATTGAAATTCAATTACGAAAAGCACCCGAATACCTAAATCAAATAGGACAAGATAAGCGAACTAATATATGTGATGCTGCACTAATAAACTTCTTATTTAACTTCAAGCATAACTAATCTTCAAAGAATATATTATTATAATCTAAAATCAGAAGTCAAAACTTGCACATACACTATTTCATAGTGATGTAGCATTGAAAATAAATGTCACAACACCCAAGTCTCAGGAATTTAAGTGATGGAGCACTGAGCAATATAACACCGTAGTGCCAAATTTCACATTCAAGGGTCGCAACGTTCAACTTTTACAGTGCAATGGCTAGAATATACGTGAAGATAGAGTGAGAGATTTTTCATATTAGCGTTGCACATATATCCAGCACACAAACAGAAGATAATAAACCCTAGAAAAATACCATAGATTTTTAACGTGGAAATCATAGAAAAGGTAAAAATTATGGGATCTGCCTCAGTTCAAATAATTCCACTAGTAGTTGAATATATTACAAATCTTGATCTGTCCTTTAAGTCGAAGATAGTGAAATTACAATAATAGTGAGAGTTGGGTGGAAATCCGATGTCAATCGGCGGCCAGGTGGAAGTTAGACGTAAGTTGTCGACATAGCAAAAATCTGGTGTTGATTGGTGGCCGGGCAAAACTCTGGTATTAATCGGTAGCCTGGTGAAAAAATTGGCGACAATCAAGGCATGGAGAAAGTCAGGCGTCGATTGGCGACGAGGCGGAAGTTTGGCGTCAGTCAACAGCCAAGATAGAGTCTGGTGTCGGTCGGTGGCTAGGCGAGAATTCAACGTTGGTCAATGGCTGGGCGAAATTTGAGCAACGGTCGGTGGCCGGCGTGGCCAGACGGAAGGCTGGGAATGGTAAGTGGTTTGGGAGAAGCTCGGCGACGGACGGTGGCCTGGGAGAAGCTCGGCGACAGATGGTGGCTGGGCGGAAGTCCGACAATGGTCGGTAGCCCTCGATCTGGACCCATTTGGGCTCGGATTGGATAGAATTTGGTGTCGTTGGATTCTGCTTTTTGAGATGTTTAGTTCAACTATAAGTTTGTGAAAATCGAAGTTCGGATTGTCACAGGATTAATTTCGGAAGTTTCGAATTGAATTTTATCTCGAGATTTGTGCTTGAGCAAGAAAATGTTTTAATGATATATCACTTTTATTTAATTAGTTGATAATGTGAGATTTAACCACCCTTTTAAGCCTCTTTATTTTTTTTATTGATTTGGAATCAAAATTTTTGTACGAATTGACACAAAGTTGGAAGCCTGAAAAAATTTGTGTAGATATTATCCAAGAGTTCTTCCGAGCTTGGCGTCAAGCTCTTCTCCAAATCATTCAACGCAGTTTAACGGGTGATGGGCATTCACCTCACCTCCTCGCAACACCCCAGATTCTAACACGTGGCATCCTTGCAACGGTCTGCTTATCTCCTCCTCCTTCCCCTTTGCTCATTTCTAAGAAATCAAACTCTTAAGCCTTAACCATCCACTCAGCCACTTCTCCCTCACTCTCCAACCATGGAGACTGGTGTTACCAGCTACGCCGGCAGCGCCATCCCCCACACCGTTCTCTCTCGCAGTCGCACCACCACCCAGTCCTGGTTTCCATTGCAGCAACGTTCAAACAGAAAAAGTGTCAGTACATTTTCATATCAAACTATTCAATAATCATCATAAGCTTAAACCAGATTTCTCTCATCTCAGAGCCTTAAATCTGCTACCTTCTTCGGTGAACCATTAAGAGCGGAATCCAAGTCCATTTCAAGAACAACAAGTAGGAACTCATTCACAACAAAGTGTGAGATTGGAGACAGCTTAGTTAAGTCTCCAAAAGCTGTTAGCTTTCTTGCTGTCAACCATGGTTGATGTAAGTGATAGAAGTTAGCATTTGTTTGTGAATTGCAGGAAGAGTTTTTGAACAAAGCAACACCTGATAAGAACCTCATAAGACTGCTGGTTTGCATGGGAGAAGCCTTGAGGACTATCTCCTTCAAGGTGAAGACAGCTTCCTGTGGTGGGACGGCATGTGTGAATACCTTTGGTGATGAGCAACTTGCAGTCGATGTGCTTGCTGACAAGCTCCTTTTTGAGGTTTAATTCTTCCATATTTTTATTCAAAGCTGTACTTGCTAGTTTTGCAGTTCAGGAGCTGAAGCTTTCCAAATTTCTCCAGTCTTTGAGGTATTCCCATGTTTGTAAGTATGCTTGCTCTGAAGAACTTCCTGAGTTGCAAGACATGGAGGGGCCAGCTGAAGGTATGTATTATCACTCATTAGGTAAACATAATTGATTTATTGTGGATGAATTTTGATGCCAATCAAAGAGAACAAGTTCTTCCAGTTAAAGTTTTCTGCTAAGGGTCTGTTAATTTGGCTGAATTTGCTTGTCTTGTTTGGTTGCAATGTCCTACTGCTAATCCACCCAGGACTTGCATTATCATATATTTGTATGGAAAACTTGCAACATTGTTTGAATTGTTATGATATATTCTTATATGAGGATAGAAAGTTAGGTAATCAAATTTAGGTTTCGTTTGGGACCGCTTTCTTATTGCTTCTTAAAGCAGCTTTATAGTACAAAAATAAAAAGTTTATACTTAAAGTAGCTTTAAGAAGCAGTAACAAAGCCGTCCCAAATGAAGCCTTAGAAGGCAATTGCTAAAAAAAAAGAGGATGTTTAAGGAGAAAAAGAAGTAGACAGATGTTAAAAACTGGTCCTTGTGTTGTTTCCTGTTTATGTTAAAATATTTTCTATTTTTGAGTAATCTTCATCTAATTTTGATTTTTCATCTTGAAGTAAAAACGTATTAGATATCCTGATACAATTTTATGCGCATCTCCTATGCTTCCAGTAGTTGTGAGCATCCTACATTGTCTAAAACCTTCAGTCTGCCTTAACAAAAAATTTAGATATTGTTAATGTTTTCTGAGTTTTTACCAAGTTTTCTTGTGATTTTGTGTTTGAGATCCGAACAATTTGATCCATACACTAACAAAAAAATTCATCAGAGTAACATTTCTTGTGTCAATCATGCTGTTAATTTTATTCATAGAAAACAATAGTTGAACTAATCTTGATATAATTCTGTTGAATTACCTACTTCTTAACATTACTAATTTTCAGTTAAGCTGATCTAATCTCGATGCAATAAGTCCCTAATAGAACAGGAAAAAATATAGGTTTACAGAGCATCTATTTTGAAACTCAGGTGGTTTCAGTGTGGCTTTTGATCCCCTCGACGGTTCTAGCATCGTCGACACCAACTTTACAGTGGGCACGATCTTTGGCGTCTGGCCTGGAGATAAACTTACAGGCGTGACAGGAAGAGACCAAGTTGCCGCCGCCATGGGCATTTATGGACCTCGAACAACTTATGTTATTGCTGTCAAAGACATTCCTGGAACTCATGAGTTCCTTCTCCTTGATGAAGGTCTCATTTCATTCAATACTCCTTACATATAAGAAGTTATATTGGTTATTATCATTCTGCAATCTGATTAATGATCTATTGTGCAGGTAAGTGGCAGCATGTGAAGGACACCACAACAATTGGTGAGGGAAAGATGTTCTCTCCAGGAAATCTAAGAGCTACATTTGATAATCCAGACTATGATAAGGTATTGTTTCTCTTAAATCATTAAGGTTTTGTTTGGGACGGCTTTCTTACTAACTTTTTGTACTAAAAAGAGGCTTTAAGAAGCAAGAAGAAAGCCATCCCAAATGAAACCTAAGTAAGATATGTAGAATGATGCAATAATAGCTTGGACTAAGTGATGAACAATATAACTACGCAGTTGATCAACTACTATGTTAGAGCAAAGTATACACTGCGCTACACTGGTGGAATGGTTCCAGATGTTAACCAGGTAAATATTGTGCGATTTGATGGACAAAAAGATCAACTTTTAGGGGCTGTTTGGTATCGGATTTACAACGGGATTTAAGTCAGATTTACGCTAAATCCAACCAAACGGTATTTTGCGCGACCTTAAATCCGGCGACGCCGCAAATCCTGGATTTACGGATTTACGCTGCAAATCTGAGTAAATCCTAATCCGATTCCTCCGCAGATTTAAATCTCTAACTGTTTTAAATCCTATAATATGTTACCAAACAGTTTATCAGGATTTAACTTTTATCATACCAAACAGTTTTCAGGATTTAATAGCCTCAGGATTTACTAAATCCGGATTTACAGGATTTACTAAATCCTATCCAATACGAAACAGCCCCTAGGTTGATATATTACTAGAGTTCAACAATATTTATGTCTCTTGGCTTGCAGATCATAGTCAAGGAGAAGGGTATCTTCACAAATGTTACATCTCCAAGTGCTAAAGCTAAGCTGAGGCTTTTATTTGAAGTGGCACCTTTGGGATTTCTGATAGAGAAAGCTGGAGGACACAGTAGTGATGGCTTTCAATCTGTGCTTGATAAGGTGATCAACACCCTTGATGAGAGGACCCAGGTTGCTTATGGATCCAAGAATGAGATCATTAGATTTGAGGAAACTTTGTACGGTTCTTCGAGGCTCAAAGCCGGCGAGCCTGTTGGAGCAGCTGTCTAAAAAGCTGAACTTATAGTGACTTCCATGGCTCTACATATCAGCATTTACTTTACTTGATATGTAGTTTCTGAAACTTAAGCCATATTCATATTGTCTATTTAAGGAATCTATATCTATAACATTTCTATCTTCAAGCAATTATAATAAATCTGTTTGAAGTGATTTAAACTTTGCCTTTTCTTAGGAAGAGAATATCAGATAGCTAAACTCATCAGTGAATTATATTACATCAGCAATACAAGTTTTATGAAGTCATTTAGGAAGTTCAGCACTTAACAGAAATTTGGTATCAAAGTATTAAATAGTCTTGTAGTATTGCCTTTCTGTATTTTAACTTGTTTGCTCATACAAAATTGATACAAAATGATGATGATGCAGAAAGTGATGAAAATTGGAATACAAAATTGATCTCAATTTCGCACGATGGAGATTGTTTCGGATCAATTTTATAAAATCTATGAAATAAATTGGAGATATGTGATACTCCAAGGCTTCGTTTCAAGTACAAAAATTAAATTTTGTACTAAAAAGCTCCTTTAAAAAACAGTAAGAAAGTTGTCCCAAACGAAGCCTAAGACTAAGACCTTATTTGATATAGTTTTCTTACTACGTTCTACAACAGCTTTCAAGCGCAAAAATTTGTTAAAAACAGCAAAAAATAGTAGCCAAAAAGCGTCCGAAACCAAGCCTAAATTTAAATTGATCCTATGTAATATAGTGGGAACTTTTTTGATCTTCTACCAAAAACTATGTAGGAGTTTCCCATGAGAATATGTCCATTGGGCTCATGTGAACCCTTTTGACAGGCTGATAATGGACTACATTGGACCTTTTGAACTTTGCTTCTAGGCCGGCCCATTTAACTAGTTTAGCTGGAACTGAATTGTTAAAACTTTGATCATTTTGAAGTGCTTTAAAATTCATGCTTTGAATTAAAAAAAAAAAAATTCTATTTGATGAAAGGTTATTTTTTATGATCTAAACTTTTTAGGTTAAGGTTGACTCGCTTAATAAACTATTAGGTTCATATTTCATTTCCCAACCTGTTTCATTATTGGGTTAACCGTCAATAAAAAAAATTGACCTGTTTCGACCCTGTTAATGGGTGTGCTTTATGTAGCATCAAATTAGTCTTTCTAATTATGAATGTTTATATGATAAAACACTATATATTAAAACCTTCATAATTAATATTTGTTAATTAGTACTATTGGAAAGATTGGTTTAATGTTTCCACATTTTTGCACTACTCACTTTGCTTAAAATAAAAAATTTTAAATATAAATGGGATTGGTAGGGTCATTTCAAACAGGTTGCATGCAGGTTGGATTTGGGTCTAAGAGTTTGAACCATTTACTAAACCGATCGTATCAGTTCAACATAGGCCTATTTCGAGTCAGACCCAAATCCGACCTAGTAACCCACTTTGACTACATAGACTGCTGATCCTTGCATTACACAGCAATAAACTTCTCGACATAGCAGCTGTTGAACATCAAATTATCTTCTTTATTGCTATAATTTTATGAATTTCCCCAGTTCTCAAGAGCTCGGGACAATTGATCTGAAATTTTGAACAGAACAGAAGTTTTTTTTTTCTTTTCTGTTCTACTTAAAACGCTAACCCTGTGAATTCTCAATTAGAGATTCTGATAGCAGCTTAGCTGTTCAGGCTGTAGGAAGATAGGACCTTTCAGGGAAAGATCTTAATTTTTATTTCGAAGTAGATTCAGCATTATTGAAATTCATCAAAATTGCTTTGAAGCAGGTTGGAAATACTTTGTTAACTCAACAAATCAGATAAAAGATCAAGAAATTCATCCCAAAGAACACTCCTTTGCGTACTCACTCCTGCATTCTTCGCAGCTAAAGTTCAGATGTAAACTATAATCCAGTTCATAACAAAGATTCCAACAAAACCAGCCATTAGCGCCTGAAAAGGACCTGATGGCTTCAGAATGATTTGGATTTGATAAGTTTGTTTCATTCTATCAGCCTCTGTTAAAGTTCTATGCTTTTAAGGTGGGCCTGAAGCTTAAAGAGCATTAAAAAACAAGGAGCAGAGATGATGAAAATCAGGAATACTGCAGCGACGTTAACTGAGAGCAGAACCAAGGGGCCATTTGATAATGGTGGTGTGGTCTTCAAGAACAACAGTACATGAGTATTTCCATGAACATACATAAAATAAGCAAAGAGACATAAAATGCAATAGCCTATCTTGGCATGAATCATGATGACAAGATTGGCAAACAATTTAAGGAAAAAAATTTTAAAAACAAGAATTTGAATGAGCTCATGTGGTCAATGGAGGCAAAGAGAATTGGTCTTCTGAGGTTGAATTTAGTGAGGTCCCATCAACATAGATTGGTCCTCACCTAGTTTTTTTTTTTCCTTCTAGACAATCTACTCCAGTCCAATATTAGACACCTATCATGGGAGAAATTATTCCGTGCGGAGTCCAGACGATAAAGAACCATTTGGATGTGAGTGTACTCAGTATTTGTACACAGTGTATAAAAAAATCAAATTGTGTACAAAATTATACACTGTGTACACTCACATCCGGATAGTTCTTTACCGTCCGGACTCCGCACGGAATAATTTCTCCTATCATGGAGGCAATATGTGGCTTCAAGGAATAAGGATTTTCATGGAAGTATGCAGACTGGATGAGCAAAATGAAGGCAACAAAGCCAGAACACCTAATAATAAAAAATGGAGTTCAAAAGGGCGCAGCGCATTTGGTTGCTTGGTTTTTACAAATCAGATTTTATATCTTAAACATATATGCCTTTAATTAAAAATAGTATCTGAAACAGACAAAACTATTGAAACAGAGAAATTTAGAATAGAACAAACCTTGCTTCCAACCAAATGACAGACCTGCAAAACCGCATTATTTTTCATAAACAAGCTTTCAAAGTTCAAACAACCAAATTAGCCTTACAGATGAGCCAAAAATCTACCAAACATCCAGAATTTAGTTGTTTATCCTAAAGGAACAAAATAGACTATATTGTAACTTCCCAACCTTCCATTATTGCAGAGAGCTAATAAGCGAAATCTTTGATACCAGAGAAGATCAGTTTCAGTATTTTACCAGCAATCACTTTCATAGAAGCAACTCCATTCAAAATAATCGAAAAGAAAAGAAATTCTTTGAACCAAAAAGTAGATCTTCATGCCCAAAATGCACATTTTATCCCATACCAAAAGAAAACCAATACCAGAAATATTTCTCATAACAACCCAGACAGAAAACAGGAACCTGATACAAGCTAGATCCAGCTTCAATACAAGCTCAACATGCTTCCTGTGAAGGAATGAGGGGTGTTATACTTGTTTCTCCCCCAGGCTCTCCCTCTCCGTCCGTCTTTCATGGGTGGCAAGTAAAACCTCAGCAATCCATTGTCGAAATGGCTTGGAGAAAATCTCGCACTCCGATTCCTCTCCAAGACAACCTCCTTCTTCTTCTTCATCCTATGACCATTACTCTCCAAACCATTCCTAAACGAACTGCCAAATCCACCATTGCCTGAAGCTGAACTTCTTAAGCTCACATTGCTATTGCTTCTGAAAAGTTTCCTAGAATACGCGTTTGCCTGCAGTTCTGGCCATGTCTCGGAGAAGGACCTCTCCACCCCATTTGCTCTGTTCCTGCCACCGTTTCGCCGGTGAATAAGCCCCCAAATGTTCCATGCCTTGCTCCACCGCCGCGACTTCTTCAAAGGCGGTACCTTTGATTGTTGGTCTCTCAGGCCAGAGTCAAAGCTTTCAGAGCACAGTTCTCTGGAATCTCTTTCATGTTTGCTCCCATGGTAGGAGGAAAGGACCTCATTGGTCTCAAATGACTGCCTCCTAGTCGAGCTAGAGTGGTCCAGGCTACGACGGCGGCCCTCATAGTAATCCCTCGTCTGCAATGTTCCTCCTGGAGCCACCAAATCCTCCTCCACGGGGATCTCGCCGTCAAATCTCTGAACGACCGCGGTCGGAACGTCTTCGACTACGGATAGCATCGGCGGCAACCTAGGGATCATTGCTCGGCCGCCGCCGATGAGGTAACCATCCCATGAAGCACGAGGCTCGTCCCAAGAGAAGCGAGGGTCATCGAAGGAGAAACGGCCGGCGTCAAGGGAAAACCTTGGGTCGATGTCGCATGAACGCCGGCCAAAGGTGTCTACTCCGTTCTCTGGCTTCTTTTTGAGCTTCTGCTTTCTTCTCCAAATCCCAAGCTTTTTGCTGAAAACGGAAGCCGCAAGCCAGAAGCTTCCGGCGATCTCTTTAAGGTCTCTGGGCGGGAGTTTCTTCGCCTGAGAATCGAGATCTATGTGATCTTTCATAGGCTTCATCTCCGCCAAAGGTTCCTCCTTTTCTTCCTCCACCATCTCTTCGTCTGTTGCAGCCACGATTTCGTCGATATCTTCTCGCCGTTCCTCCTCGGGAACGGTAATGGAAGGGGGAAACCCAAGATTAGGGCATCCGCGATCCCGGTCGTCCTGGTGGAACAGAGATGACAGAGTGTTCCGGACACGGACGTCGCAGGACTTGCGTTGGGGCTCGACAGCGGTCGCGGCGGCGCGTGACGAGGAGAAGGACTTGCACCGCCGGAGCTCCGGCCGGTGAAATGAGTTCGATGAAGTGCCGGAGGAACGGAAAAAGATGGACTTTATCGCGGTCGAAGTGGATTTGCGGGGTGCTTCGGTTGCTTCGAGGCCGGCGAGACGTTCGCGAAGGCAAGAGGCGCAGAATCCGATGACTTGTTCTCCGGGGTGGCGGTCGCAGGAGGTGGGAGGGAGATGGTGGATCTGCAGGGCTGGCGCTGCCGGTTGGATCTCCATTTCCATGTTCACGGCAATGTTCGTATCGCTACGGCCAATCGCCGCCGCTGCTTTTCTATTACTAAGAAGAGCGAGACATGATATTTAACAAAGCCTTTTCTTCGCACTTCAACATTGACACTATGTAGGAATGGGAAAAGAAAAAATGTGACTTTGCTTAAGCATTAGGAAGGGGGAAGACAGGAAGAGGAAGAGGAAGAGGAAGAGGAAGACAGGGCTGTGGGGAAGAAGCAAAGAGAGCGAGCGATTTTTCATAGAGAAGAGAGGAGGGAAGAATGCATTATGTCCCTGCACATAATAGCAAAGTACTAAGAGAGAATTTTATTTAAGAAAAATTTTACATATATGAGTTATATGTGATGAAATGTATATATAAATTCATAAAACTAACACTCATCATAATATATAACCCAATATATGTGCTTGTTAGGCTCAAATTGTTAGGAATTTGACAATAGAAAAATATAGTAATGGGATTTTATTGTAAATTTTGATATTTGGATGAAAATTTAGAAAATTGAGGTTGGAAAGTGTTAGTTTTGTAAATAATTAAAGTTTAAATTTTACGTACGTAAGTAACCCTTCATATAAGAGTAAATTGCACACTACTTAATATAAAATATATTTATTTTTTTATTAAATCGCCTAAAAATGAACTTTTTTTTAGCTTCTTTGAAAGTTCATTTGCCAACAAAAAATCTACTTGATTAATCAAGAATCTTGGCATTATTCTAGGAACTCGAAACACATAACAATCTGAATAAAAAAAACTTTTAAATCAATTTTGAGTCCATATGAACTCTATTTTCAATAAACAAAATGAACGTTTTGATAAGACAAATTCAATGAGATATTAAAAAAATTATGATTAGAGTTTAAATTGATCTAAATCAAGCACTCAAATATATGATTAGAAACTTTACGATGTCCTTTGAGGGGCCTAATGATATTTGAATCTCGTGCATTTATGCCTGAAATGAACAACTAAAATAGCCCAAGATCGCTCGATTTCTATATCATTGATGACAAAAAGATGTTTGAAAAATAATGTATCATCAAGAAAGATTGATATATAACATTTAGGATAGTGTTTTGATTTATGGTTGAAATGAGTGGAATTTATGTGTTCATTAATCTAGAAATTATCCAACTTTTAGGTAATGGAGGCTGGGATGAGACCATAACAAGAATTTTAGAGGAGAGAATTCAAATCATTATACTAAATCACCCAACGCTAGTAGTTGCTGCCACATGATATTGACATCAAAATTGAAACATGATATTGACAATAATACTAAAGCTGACCTCCTTCGTCGCCTATAAGCTGATATTCTTCATTGACAGCAAAGTTGTTGTCGGCCAATAGCACCAAGGATGACACCCATAATTTCTAATGAGACAAATGCATGACATTGACACAAATGACGATGCCCATTGTCACTAATAAGGCTGATGTTTGTCGTTAACATTAGCAGTGACACTCAAAGTTGTGTACAAGGCATACTAACCCGATTATCACAAGACCAACGCTTTTGTTGACATGAACATCAACACCCATTGTCATTAATAACATCAATATCCCATGTTCCTAACAAGGCTCCACCCTCCTTTGATGCTATTGCTACACCATTATCTTGAACAAAATGGCTTTAACTCGATTGATTTTTCTAGATATATCAATATATAATATTAAAATCTAAGAACAAAATTACATATCTAAGATTTTTTTGAGCCAAGTCTTACGAAACACAATGTTAAGGGTCAGTTCGTGAATGCTGCAATGTTTAATAAAGTTGAATGTTAAGTCGGTGTGAGGAATATAACTTAGCTATTTGAGTTGATAAAAGTAATTTTAAGTTAAAAAAAAAAGAAAAAATATTAAGAAAATAATAGTAAAATAGAATTATAATTATTGTGAAAAATAAAGAAGATAATATGTATTTTGTAATTAGGTAAGAATGGTGTGCCATATATAAAAAATAAAAAAGTAATTAAAAAATAAATTAAAAGTATGTTAAGTGAGAGAAGAAAAAAAAAAGCGAAAGCGAGTGATCACGCTCCCCTGGTGTCTCCTCTTTAATTTTTTACACTTTTACCTTTTTGTATTTTTCCCTTTTCACCCATGTGTTTTCTGAATTTTTCAATCTCCTCATCAAAGGAACCTTTGGGCTTGGCCCGCCCATTTCTTTGCACCGCGGTCACAAAAGCCAGCTTCGAACACCGCTCGTACAATTTGCGTGCTCACGCTATGGGTTATGGACCGTTGGATTCATGTGTTCAATTCGCTGGTCGTTCATTTTTCCACACGTGCGAAGACTGAAGTTTGTATTTATCGGGCAGTAGGTGGTTGGTTCGCAGGTTCAAGGTCTTGGAGAATTCTCATACATTGAGAAATTTAATTATCAAATAAAATTTGAAACTTAACATTTTTTTTTTGCTTTTATGTGTTACATAAATTATTATATGTAAATAATTTAATGAACAATATTTGGAAAGAAGTTTTAATAGTCCATTTTATCAAGTAATTATATAATTTTTGCATAATTTTTTTTTTAAGAATATAATTTTCAAGGGCTACAAAATTTGTTGTCAAAATCTAGCTTGTTCAGAAAGAAGTTGTAAGAGGTCGGAATTTTTATCTTGAAAATATATGAAAGTGAAAAATCATGAGATGTAGTTTAGTTGCAACAGTTCAACATATAATATGAGATATAAGAATCATCTCTTCCTCACAATTGAATACAATTATCATAATTTTGTTATAGATTGCATAAATAAGGTGTATTCATAAGTGAACAATTAAAGTTCAACAACAAGATTATATGTTAATAGTTAAACGATAATAGCTGGTTGATAGAAGCCTAGTGATGGCGATGGGGATTGCTGCCGTGATAGTTAGAAATTCCTATAGAGTTCTTTAACCCTCTTAGCTCTTGAATTAGCTCCCTCTATTTAGAAAATGAGGTTCTATTTATAGGCATTTTAAGAAGGTATTTTAGTCAATTTGATTATAATCTAAAATACATAGAAGTGTTTATATAAATTGCATTGATCATAGACCATTTCTCTATAATTTGAGGGCTTTAATGATGTCAGAATTAACTAATCTTCAGTCGTTATATTCACCTTATTGAGTCACTTAGTTTGACTATAAGCAAGTAAGATTTGAAGACTATTTGATTCTCAATTGAAGTATATAAGCTTTTAAGCTGGTTTCAAGTGATGTATTTAGGTTCAATTGAAATTCGACTATAAATTTGCTGAAAGTTGAACTCATTAGATGATCTTAAATTTAATTATGAAAATTTTTAATTCAAATATTGCCTTACAATTAAGCATTCATAGAAAAACTTGATGAATATTTTGAGACTTATTCATAAAACATTCATTTATGTTATCTTATTAATGTAATGAAAAAGATTTGAACATAATTTTAATAATCAAACTATTAATGAACAAGCTTAAATATTAACTAACTATATTGCATATTTGATGATTTATTAAATGTTTTTGTGTCATTTTTTTTATGTCTTATGCATTTTAAAATCTATGTATATTGTTAGAGAGATAAATTTGATGAAAATATCAAATAAATACCTAAATGTGTAGATTTAAAATTTTCTTAATAATATTTAAACTTTATAAAATAACTTAAATGACATCTAATAATTTGTTTCAATTTTGATTAAAATTTAGAATTCGAATATGTTTAGTAATTGATAAGAAAAAAAATAAAAACTATAGTTTTACAAATGTGTTAATATATTTGATATATCATCAAAAAATTATCTTGATCGGACACGAATATCGATGAAAATTTCGGTGGAAAATTTTTAAATTTAAATTTGGAGCCATTCAAACTCTGATTTCAACAAACTTATAGTCGAATTGAAAATCTAATAAAGATGGACCCAACGACATCAAATTCTATTCAATCCGAGCATAAATGGGTCCAAATTGAGGGTCAGAAGCATGTTTGAAAGCTTCAAATCATAAATTGGATGATCAAATGATCTCCAAATATTACATGTTCAGATTTAACGAAGGCACTCAAATACTCGATAAATGGTCCACATTTAAGAAAGTCTATAGCGTCCATCCATTCAACACACTCCCAACATGTCATTGATCTTTTCACTATGTACTAGCCATTTCGCTTAATAAAAGTATAAATAGATCACTCATTCTTCACTAAAAATGGGGACCAAGCAAGGAGGAATAGAGGAAAAGAGAAGAGAAAAAGTAAGAGAAATCACCAAGCTCCTCGACCACTGCCCAGCCACCAACTGTTGTCGAACTTTAGCCGACTACAGTCTCTCCAATCATTGTCTATATACTATGGTCCTTCCAACCCCCACAGTCTCCCAGACTACCATTACTAGACTAAGGTCTCCCCGACTGTCGTCGCCTGACTATGGTCCTTTCAACCTCTGTTGCTTGTTGACTATGGTCTACTTTGATAATCGTCGCCCGCCGACTACGGTCTACTCTGACCATCGTCACCAACCGACTATGATATACTCTGACATCGTTTACTTCGATTACCGCCTTTCACACCTCTGTTGCTCGACTATGGTCATTCTGATTAGGGGTGTCAATTTCGGGTCACGAGTCGGGTTCGGGTCAAACCCGGAACTGACCCGAGTTCAAACGGGTCAACCCTAACCCGACCCGGGTAGACTGTCATGCCCCAAGATCTAACTTGGAAAGAATGTCAATCTATTACTCAAACAATTTACCAGAGTTATCTAAAATATTCAATTAAACAGTCTATCAAACATCTATAAAATTTAAATCATCAATATACAAGTCGATTCATATCTCAAAAGGTCATGTACAATACTCAGGAACTACACTACAATCACCAGTACTGAAATCTATCCTGAGTACAAAAGAATTAAAATCAATCAAAAGACAAAAACCTGAAAGGCCTTCCCCCCCAAGGATTTGCCTCATTTGTGTCAACTACAAATACTAGTCGATTTATTTTAATTGGGCAAGGCCCCGTGATTTTCCCCATTTTCAGGGGCTTGCATATAAAAACTCTCGTGTCTCTTATGAACACTACACTCCTATCTTTCATTTATTTGTGTGTCGAATCTTCGTACAAAACTAGAATGTTAATTTTATACTACTTCTCTACTGCGTGAATATTCATGGACGCAACAATATCAGAAAAATATATAACAATAAAGAAAAATATAATAAAATAAAAATATTTAACAATAAAACTGTAGCGAATTTCTACCATAAATAGTACATGTGATAATACAAATATAA